ATAACCATGTTTCAGATGACTCCCCAAAGGAGGAGCCATCTGAATTGGCGCATCCACCCATACTTTTGCCCTAGGCGCCATCTCACTTGGCGCCTCCCTTCACTTTTAGCCAAGTGAGATGGCGCATGCTCCTTAAAAGTGAGAGGAGACGCCATCTCACTTGGCTCATAGGGCAATACTAGGGCAAAATGATGTTTTATAAATAATTCGTCAGTTTCTCTGAAATTTCATACACTTTCTCGCACTGTATTTTTATTTTTTACTCTGTTATTTGCGTCATGACGTCGCCCATGATTTTTAGCAGAGATGGTTACGTTATCTTCTCCGCCACGAAACCTGCGATGAAAATGAAATTCTGGCACATTCACTCCATGGAGCGTCTGAAGCGGGAGTTGATGCGATGGCTAGATGGAGACATTGCGGAGGGGGAAAAAATTCGAAGGATCCAGCGAAAACGAACAACAACCTCACATGCGACAGGAAGATCTAATGTATGGTTGGAGGAAGTCAAAACAGACAGCGATGTAATGTTGATGATGCATGGGTCAGATGAAATTGTGTTAACAGTTGTAATTTCGTAGACGGAATATCGTTAATTTTTCTTGTATGTGTTTTATTAATTGTAGCAAAATCTGTTAACGGAAAACCCTAATGTTTACAACACAATTAAGGAAAGATTTTATGTATTACAATTTTTATGTGGTCGAGACAGACGCCCGATTCAGACAATTTTTGCGATTGTGTCCGACCTGACGGCATAAACCACACTTTCTTTCCAACTTGTCAAGATCGTCCATTTCTGTTGTGATGCGCTTACTTTTGGGATGAACCTTTTTGTTCCTTCGCATTTGGTCATTGTGCCACACTATTTCTCCGTCGTATGCAGGCCAATAATCTGGTTTTTCTACCAAAGGAAAGTTGTTGTTGTAAACGTTGATCAACGTTTCAAATTTGTAAATGTTTGACAGAAGTTGCAGCGCGTCTTGATGGGTATGAGCACAAGCGGCAATGACATGAGAGCAAGGCATACGAAATGCTTGAAACCTGCCACAATCGCACCAACAAAAAGGTAGCATGACCCTATATTCTTGTCTTGGCAGGCCTTCGTTATGGTCGATTGTCTCTTTCACAATGAAGTTGTGGTTGTGTCGGTCAAACCGTATAACCATATGAGTGTTGGCTTTAGCACTTTCCGCCTTAATGTATTTCATGCAGCTTTCACTCTATAGTTGTCCAGATTGCAACACCGCATTCCACATTTCACCTCTTTTGGCAAATAACGCAGCCATCCTAAAATACGTAGATTTTACCAAGGCAATGATCGGGAGGTTTCGTATGCCTTTGAATACCCCATTCATTGATTCAATAAGATTCGTTGTCATGTGCCCCCATCTTTGGCCATTGTCGTATGACCTAGTCCATTTTTCCACCGGAATATTGTCGATCCACCTACCGGCTTCTGGATTTAACAAATAGATCTCGTTGCGGTAATATATGAATGTGGGTTGTGTTAATGCATATCCCGCATTCATAACCGCTTTCCTCAATGTTTTGTCCTTGATCTCCCTCGTGAAATTCTGGACGATATGCCTAACGCAATAGACATGCGTAGAAGGAGGGTCATGCCAACCGTTTGCAGGATTATTGTAGGCACTTTCAATGGAGGCGTGTCTGTCCGAGATCAAACAGAGATCTGGTTGAGGAGCCACATATGTCCGCAGATTTTTCAGAAAAAAGCTCCAAGCATCACCAGTCTCCCCCTCGATAAGGGCAAAGGCAATGGGGAAAATGTTGTTGTTGCCATCTTGTGCAACTACCATCAATAGCGTGCCTTTGTACTTCCCATACAACCAAGTCCCATCAATTTGTATAATTAGTTTGCATGATGCAAACCCTGTGATGCATGGTTGAAATGCCCAAAACACTCGACTGAATATTCCGTTGTCGTTTAGTAGACTACCATCTTGGGCGTATGTTGGCACTGTTTCTAGAACGTAAACACTACCCGGAGAATACGTCTTGAGTACATTCAGGTAGCGGGGAAGTTCTTGGTATGACTCCTCCCAGTTTCCGTACACCCTTTCAATCGCCTTAGTCTTTGCTAACCACGCTTTACGGTAAGACGGAGTGTAGTTAAAAAACATGGTGATGTGGGAGATGATTGTTTTCACCTTCAAAGATGGGTCGTTGCTGACCAGGGGTAGGATTTCTTGACAGATGAGGTCGTAGTTAAGTTTTCGGTGGTCCTGTGATTGAGTGGAACTTACACAAGTGTGGGTAGTCATGGAACCTATGACCCAGCAGTCACCTCTTAATCTGTATGATGCGGTCAGCTTGAATATACAGTCAGGGTGGACACACTTGATCTTGTACCTTTCTGGGTTGACACGGTCCACCTTAAAATCAACCGAGTTGAGCATGTGGAATTTTTTTATGGCTCTGATGCATTCCTCTCTATTACGAAACTTGTCCTTCTCTTTTAAATTTTCATCCGACTGCATATACGGATTGAAAAATAAGTCAGTAGAAGGTTCATCTCCGCCCATGTTGAAGTTTGTCATGTGCGGAGGTGGTGTGTAGATTTTGTTTGCAGGAATACTATGCCATCATCGTCGGAATCATCATTCACCATTTCATCAAACTCTAACTCGTCATCTTCTTCTTCTTCATCAACTGCATCTACCTCAGCTTGTTCATTCTCCAAAGGATCAACTACTTGTGTCACCTGAGGCTCTTGCAGCATAACGTACAACTCAATAGAGTCGTACCTAGAATACACATGGCTGGAAAACATATTCTGGAGATCCTCGTCATCTTGGACTTCAACCTTATAAAAAATTACTTGGTTGTTTCCAAAAAAAACTGGATTCTAATAAAATATCTGGGTCACCGGGCCTCGTCCAAGTTTGGCCTCTAATCGTTTTTTGAAGTACGAGAAATTGGCTTTCCCGTTTAAGAGAAATCGGATGTTGTCTGTGTCTCTAAACAAAAACCCAGCGGTGGGACAAATGTATGCCTCACCGTTGAAATGTGCTTTGACGACAAATTGTGGTGCAGAGGCCATTGCGTAGGGTTATTTGAAGGTTTGAAGGTATGAAAGTTGGAATGTTTGAATTTTATGAGTTATTCGAAGGTTGGAATGTTTGAAGTTTATTGATTGTATGAAGGTTTGAATGTTGTAAGGTTTGAAGGTTTGAATGTTTGAACTTTATGAGTAATTCGAAGGTTTGTATGTTTGATTGTTTGAAGGTTTGAAGGTTTGATTGTAAGAACGTTTGAAGGTTGGAAGATTTGACAGATTAAGTGAATCAATGTTATGATAAACGTAAGACTAAAAATTTCAATTAAGTAAGGATGTAACCCCCAAGGCTGCCAATAGTGTTACATGCATGGCTTCCCAAAGGTTGTCACATAGCCTGAGCCTAGCCTGCAACCAAGGACACCTCTTATTCGCCAATTGGGATGGCGACACCTTTAATTTTTGTACTCTTTCGCCAAGTCCAATGGCGCCTCCCTTACTGTCCAATCGTGATACATGCATGCAGAAATGTAACCCCCTAGGCTGCCACCTAGCCTGTGCCTACTCTGCACCTATACTATATGTTGTAAGTCTCATCCCATCACCTCCAATGGGGTTACATGCATTCAGGCATGGCTTCTCAAAGGTTGTCACGTAGCCTGAGCCTAGCCTGCAACCAAGTGTAGCGATAAAAAATGTAGCGGGGTAAATCGGAGATCGAATTATTAATTAATTCGTCTCACAAAAGCAAGAGTCGCCACCGCGCTTTATTATTTCCAAGGGAAAAGGGAAAAGAGCGAAATAAAACCCTAAAATATGCAATGTAAACTAATACTTTAAAAGTAATGAAAATACAAGGCGTTTTTGAAAAGAGGTCTAGAGTTTGGGGGTTGATTATACAGTGGGAAGGTATTAGCACCCAATGTATCTATAGTATTCTATAGGAACCTTTTGAAATATCTGTTTATTAAAATGTTCGTTTGATTAAAAATAAATTGTTTTGGCCGAAGATGGGTATGGACGAGTTTTTGAAGATACGAAGACCTAATGTCGAAGTTTTGACTTAAAAGGTGTGAGTTTTTAAAGAAATTAGATATTTGGGAAAATTATCCTATATTTTTAATGAATGGGGGTATTCGCTCGATCGTGTAAGATATATTTGATGACATGAAGTCAGCAAAATTTAAATTTTTCCCTTGGAGTTTTTGTTTTAGATGCAAAATGGGAAAGAAAAATTCTAAGAGAAACTGAAACTCTAATGTTGTCATGCAATTAATGGACTTGAGGTAGAGATTTCAAGGAAATTCTATCCTAAAATTATCATGCCAAAGTTGGAAACCTAATGTATAACTCAACATAAAATAATGAAAACAAAGTTTTAATCGTTAATGGTGTTTCTTAAGGGATCGTGGCAAAAGAAACAACAAAACCATCAACCATAAATAAAAGAAAATAAAAGTCTAATATTTTTAGGATTTTCAAGTGATGAGATATTAAAATCAAAAGGAAATTAAACTTATTCTAAGATTTTTGGTATATTTTGGTCATGTTAAGAAACATTAAAAAAATTAGAAGGAAATTAAAACTTATTGTAAAACTTTTGGTATATTTTTTGATAGAAATTCTAAATTCTAACTAATTTGAAAGTTTATTATGTTATGTTTTGTTTCTCTTTTATTTTCTACAATTACTACGGGATAATGTTATAGTCAAATAATAAGTAAAAAAAAAAATAGGACAAAGTTAATCGGGCTGACTGGGGTCTAATCCTCAAATGATATGAAAGGCCCAAAAACAAGTAAACAAATGCAGAAAAAGCAAGCCTGGGGCGGACCGGGTCAAAACCGGATCCAGTTCCCATCCTCTAAAACAAATGGATTAAGAAAACCTAAAAACATGTCGAACGGCCACAAGCGTACAACTCTTCTTCTATTTCTCAGTTTTCTAATCTCTCTCTACTTGAAACGTGACCTTCACCAAAATGAAACAACAACAAGAAAACTCAGCTGCAACTCAACTCCCTCGCTTCCCTTCTTCCCACGTTCTCTCTTTATCAACTCATACTTACATCCATGTAGAAAATATCATGAATATGAAACTTAGTTCTAGCTATCAATCAAAAAACAACAATATCAAAGCAAATTGAAAGGAAAAGGTGAAAGAAAACTTCGTTGAAACCTGACGGTGATACATGATTTCTATTGGCCCCTGCTCCAATCTGAAATAGCTTAGGTGATTTTAATTATTCGATTTGTATGTTGACTCATTCGGTCGTGGGTTCAAGATTTCGTTTCCAATTTGCGGTGGTGGTCTACAAGCGGATCTGCAACATGAGTTGAGTGTCGACGGTGATTGCGATGTCGTATGGAAGGCGTGGCTTGTCAGAGTTCGTCAGATTCGTTTGCAGATCTGGGTGTGGTTGGCATGGAAGAATGGAAGAAAGGTCGCAGTTGGAATGATGTGTGTCGATGAACGGCGGGGTTCTGGTCACGCGATGGGTGGGAATCTTATCGAATCTCCTTCTCCTTATTATTTCCTTCTAAGAATTTCAAATTTTCACACTTTGAAATTCTTTTGCACATCTGGTTTCGAAGAGGTGTTGTTATTGCGGTGGCATCTCTGTTTTCTTCTCTTTCTCAACAACCGAAATGGAGCTCGAATGATGTGATGAAGCTGGACGAATAGGAGAAAATGAAGTGTCGATAGTTTCTTGCAAAACAGAGGAGAACAGGGCGGAGGGAGGCTTGGAGAACCTTGAGAAGAAGTTGATGGATAGAGGAAAGTTGTTATGGATTCTGAATGTGAGCGGAAAGGTGATTGTCTCAGCGAACGAAAAATATGAACGGGTTTGTGAGATGGCTATGGAAGTGAGGTATGGTGTTGAAGGTTATGTTATTTCCGCAGTTTGAATTGTTATTTATGCAGGTTATGTTCTTCCCGTTTTGATAGTGTTTCTATCTCTTCTTTATAGCCAGTCTCTCATAAAATTGGAGGGAGATTTTTGATAAGCTTGAATAATTTTGGTGATTTGCTTTATTGCTTTTTTGATACAGGTTTTGGTCTTGCTAAATTAGTGCAATTTTGACAGGTTTTTTTAACTGTTTATGGCCTGGTTTTAGTACAGGGCTATGGCTTGGCCTCATTATGCAAGTTTCTTGGATGTGTTATGGTGTAGATTTTGCAGTATGACAGTAGCAGGTTTGTGGGAAGATTTGGCAAGAGTTGAAGCAAATTTTGGATAGTTGTGTTTGGATGTGCAGCATGAAAAAGACAAGAGATGAGATAAAATTGTTGTTGTAAACTGTGACCCTCCTCCAACTTTATATTTTCTTTCTTTTTGGATAAAACAAAATTAACAACAAGAAAAATAGTAATAATAATTAACCAAAAAAAAGAGGAGATTGTTAGTGACAACTAAACTAAAAGTACAAAAAAATTAAAATAAGAGACACAAAAAAAAATGTGTTTAGTAATAATAATAATTCAATTTAAGAAATTCAATTAATATTAGAACTAAATCAAAATTAAAAAGGAACTAAAATTATAATGACTAAAGAAATAAAATGTAAATAAAAGAAAATGGTATTAACTATATATTTTTTCTTTGAGATTTTCTGGATGTAAAATACAACTAAAATAAAGATGACGCTAATCACATTTTTTTTTTTGGATTTTTTCAAATAAAGTGATACAAACATATAAATTTAAATAGAATTAATAAAAGACCATATTTTTTATATTTTGAATAAAGAAATAAAAAAAATTATAAATAAATAAATAAAAATAATAACACATGTTAAGTGCGTCATTTGCAATTTTTTAATGGAAAAGAAATCATGAATAAAACACAGTCGAACTCAAATTTCACCAAATTCACAAAACAACTTTTAACGTCAACAATTTTTCATGGCTTTTTAATGCATAATTTTCCCTTGATTTATAAAGAAAAGTTGTAGATGATGTCAAGGAAAATCATGTGCAAAAACAACCTCTCAAGAATGTCGAAATTTGAAGAAGTTATGAATTTTTAAAATCTGCTTTGAAAATTGATAAAAATAGGTCAAATCGCTTGTGAACACTTGCAATGTAACGATGTAGATGGGAGGTGATATCTTAGGTCAAAAATTGGGGTACAACAGCTGCCCCTATTTAAGTTTCTTCTATCCGGAGATATGAAGATTAAAATCTTCGTCTCGACGAGATTGAAGGTACTTAAATACATAATACGCAATTTTTGCCCTAAGATACCGCCATTATATTTGTGATACGAATGTAGTAATTGAATTCACAGAGAAAGATATTGTATGAAACAAGAAAATGCTGGAGAAATCAAACACCAACAAAACACATGAACATAGATTATACACTACTGGGGAAATGAGCCATCGACTTCAAATAATAGACTCTTGACGGCGAATAAAAATTTGAGAGAATACGACCTCTGACCTTAACAAAGAAGGCATCTTGCATAGGCCATAAAAACAGATTATCGACCCAAAATAACGGTGAGTGCACATCTCAAGGTCAACGATGGACAAAAGATGTATCAATTTTGCTGGCGACGGATTACCGACTTCTGAAGGTAAAGATTCATAACAAACTTCTCGGCGAGATTTCCGGAGATATACTAATTAATGCTGGAATAATAATAAGGTTGTAGATACACAAGCTGCTCAAATAAAGAAGCTGCCACTTGCTGTCTTCCAAAAATACTATAACATACAAGCTGCTCAAATAAAGAAGCTGCCACTTGTTGTCTTCCAAAATACTATAACATACAAGTTGCTCAAATAAAGAAGCTGCCACTTGTTGTCTTCCAAAAATACTATGACATACAAGCTGCTCAAATAAAGAAGCTGCCACTTGTTGTCTTCCAGAAAAATAATAACGTACAAGTTGCTCATGAAGAGACCGCCGCTTGCCGTTTTCCAAAAAATAATAATGTACAAGTTGCTCATGAAGAGACCGCCGCTTGTCGTTTTCTAACGATGTCTATAACGTACAAGTTGCTCATGAAGAGACCGCCGCTTGTCGTTTTCCTAAAATAATAACGTACAAGTTGCTCGTGTAGAGCTGCCGCTTGTCATTTTCTAACGATGTCTATAACGTACAAGTTGCTCATGAAGAGCTGCCGCTTGTCATTTTCTAACGATGTCTATAACGTACAAGTTGCTCATGAAGAGCTGCCGCTTGTCGTTTTCCAAAAACAATAACGTACAAGTTGCTCGTGAAGAGCTGCTGCTTGCCATTTTCCAAAAAATGATAACGTACAAGTTGCTCATGCAGAGCTGCCGCTTGTCGTTTTCCAAAAATATTAATAACGCACAAGTTGCTCATGAAGAGCTGCCGCTTGTCGTTTTCCAAAAGATAATAACGTACAAGTTGCTCGTGAAAAGCTGCCGCTTGTCGTTTTCTGAAGAATGACTCAGAAGGAAATTGCGATGACACTGGCAGAGAATAAAATCTTCGTCAAAGAGAACCATGAATCAATCCTTCCCGAGGAGATCACATACTTAAATGTGCAAAATAAATGCATCATTCGTCTAGGTGGCGACTTCACTGGGGAAAATCATGAGATAGCCTATGCAAGAGACAATAACTCCCTCCAGGAATAAACCAGAGAGAAAACAGTCAAACAAGACTCCACCCAATGAGAAAGTAACTTGATTGGGGGATTCATCCTATCCAGAAATGGACAAGGTAGGCTAAATCAAAAAATCATCCACGAGGATTAGCTCAGTTGGGGAATTTAGAAAGGAAGCACATTTTCTGCCTAAGCTAACCTTCTACTTGGAAAGAACATGTACATTGTCTTAATAAACAAAGTATACAACCCAAAATCAACGACAAATGTGAATATGCATGCTGATATAAGTGTAAATGAGTAAATGAATGTTATGCTGACAAAACAAACAGATGGAATAACTTGAAGACAATAAGATGTCACGACATAATAGATACTCGGCCAATCTTAAAAAGATGGAAAATAACTGGAACTGGAACCACAAAGCAACGTCAGAGCGTATCACGCTACAAGGCTCAAGTCTTCTGAGGAGAAAAGTATTCAAATCCAATCTTCTAATACCAATAGACTACTGGCATGAGACAAAGTGTACCACACTACGGAAATCGCTCAAATAAAGATAACCAAAACAACGCTTAATTGGAAAAACTGGGGAGTCACCAAGCTTAGTACCACTAGAAACAAGAGTGTACACAACCAACACCTCGTGACGATTTTGAAAGAAAACATGTTCATCATGCAAGGATAAATTACTGTACTGTTTTGCATTTCATGGCTTGACCATCCTTGGAACAACTGTTAATATTCCTTTCAGTATTCACGACACATTTTTAAAATAAGAATACTTTAAATAACTTTGTTTCAAATATTTCCGTAAAATTAAAATTTTGCCCACAAAAGGTAAATGCTCAAATTTCATTAATAAGATGGTAGTTCGCTAACAACGCGACTCCAACGGTTTACAAAAGTTTGGGAAATAGTACATGAAAGAAAGGGTTACACAAAAACAATGATCACTATTCTCCCTAACAACTTCGAATTCTGAAATGTGCTCATATGCCACAGCCGGGATGACCAAAAGCCTGCCTAAGCCGCCCCTTCGGGTTTTCAACTTAGCAAACTGTCAACTCAAACCTAAGCGAAATATTTCTTGACTGCATCGGCGTTCATGGAGCGCGGGAGCTCTTCACCGTCCATATTTGTGAGAATCATGGCACCTCCAGAGAAAACTTTCTTAACGACATACGGTCCTTCATAATTCGGAGCCCACTTGCCCCTAGAATCAGGTTGGAAAGATAATATCTTTTTGAGCACAAGGTCACCTTCTCTGAACTCGCGTGGTCGAACCTTCTTATCAAAAGCCTTCTTCATTCTCTGCTGATATAATTGACCGTGACACAATGCTGTCAATCTCTTTTCTTCAATTAAATTCAACTGATCATATCTACTTTGACACCATTCAGCCTCAGAAAGTTTAGCTTCCATCAACACTCTCATAGACGGAATCTCAACCTCCACGGGGAGTACTGCTTCCATACCATAAACTAGGGAAAATGGGGTTGCGCCTGTTGAAGTTCGAACTGAAGTACGGTATCCATGCAGAGCAAACGGAAGCATTTCATGCCAATCTTTATAAGTTACCACCATCTTCTGGACAATCTTTTTGATGTTCTTGTTAGCATCTTCAACAACCCCATTCATCTTCGGCCTGTAAGGAGAAGAATTATGATGTTCGATCTTGAACTCTTCACAAAGCTCTCTCATCATCTTGTTATTCAAATTCGAACCATTATCAGTGATGATCTTGCTCTGGATACCGTGTCGACAAATGATTTGATTCTTGATAAATCTGACTACCACCTGTCTGGTTACATTAGCATAAGATGCTGCTTCCACCCATTTAGTAAAATAATCGATCGCTACCAAGATGAAACGATGACCATTTGAGGCTTTGGGTTCAATCATTCCAATCATATCAATGCCCCACATAGAGAAAGGCCAAGGTGAAGAGATAACGTTGAGGAGGGTCTGTGATACGGTGGGAGAGCTAACTAGGGTTTTGCGTTTGTTTTCGCAAATGTTTCGGTTGAGCAAGAGTCGCCACCGACTTTTTATTTTATCCTAAGGAAAGGTTTAAAAAGCAC